ATTTTGGGGGTGAAGGGGTTGGGAGTTCAAATTCCCACTGGATCCTTAAGAATTCAACACTCAGAAACTTCTCTCAATTTTCAAATTAAAGGTGGCTTTTAAAAACTCATCCTTGAGAACTCAACACTTAGAAACTCATCTCAATTTTCAAACATGGCTTTTAAGAAGCTCCTCCTGGAGAATTCAACACTCAGAAACTTATTTGATTTCCCAATGAAATAATGGCATTTAAGAAGCTGCTCTTTGAGAATTCAACACTTAAAAATTACCTAAATTTTCCAATGAAAGACAGCTTTTAAAAAATATGATTAAGAATTCACTACTCAGAAACTTATTTAATTTTCCAATGAAATAATGGCTTTTAAGAAGCTTCTCCTCGAGAATTCAACACTTAGAAACTTCTCTCAATTTTCAAATTAAAGATGGCTTTTAAGAAGCTTCTCTTTGAGAATTCAACACTTAGAAAATTCTCTCATTTTTCAAATTAAAATGGCTTTGAAAAACTTATCCTTGAGAATTCAACAGTTAAGAATTCAACACTTAGAAACTTCTCTCAATTTTCCAATGAAATATGGCTTTGAAAAAATATGGAGCTCATCCCGGAGAATTCAACACTTAAAAACTCATCTCGATTTTCCAATTAAAGATGGCTTTTAAAAAATATGAATAAGGATTCAACACTTGGAAATTTATTTAATTTTCCAATGAAATAATGGGTTTTAAGAAGCTCATCCTTGAGAACTCAGCACTTAGAAACTTCTCTCAATTTTCCAATGGAATAATGGCTTTTAAGAAGCTTCTTCTGGAGAATTCAACACTCAGAAACTTATTTAATTTCCCAATGAAATAATGGCTTTTAAGAAGCTCATCCTTGAGAATTCAACACTTAGAAACTTATTTAATTTTCCAATGAAATATGGCTTTGAGGAAGCTCCTCCCTGAGGATTTGGCCCTCTTTGGCCAGGATTCCTGGCCGAGGTTTTGCATCGCTCCTGTTCACCGGGACATCCTGGGTTGGAAGGCCCAGGATTGGCCCAGGGTTGGCCCTGGGATCAGCCTGGGATCGGCCCTGAGATCGACTCGGGATCAGCCTGGGATTGGCCCCAGGATCAGCCCGGGATCGGCCTCAGGATTGCCCTGGGATCAGCCCAGGATCAGCCCTGGGATCAGCCTGGGATCAGCCCGAGTTTGGCCCCAGGATCAGCCCGGGATCAGCCTCAGGACTGGCCCCGGGATCAGCCTGAGATCAGCCTGGGATCAGCCTGAGATCAGCCGGGGATCAGCCCCGAGATCAGCCCGGAATCAGCCCTGGAATCAGCCCTGGGATCAGTCCAGGGATTGGCCCAGGATCGGCCCAGGATCAGCTCAGGATCAGCCTGGCATCAGCCCTGGAATCAGCCCTGGAATCAGCTCTGGGATCAGTCCTGGGATCAGCCCCAGGATCAGCCCAGGGATCGGCATGGGATTGGCCCCAGGATCAGACTGGGTTCATCTTGGGATCAGCCCAGGATCAGCCCCAGGATCAGCCCCAGGATCAGCCTGGGATCAGCCCCAGGATCAGCCTGGGATCA